GAAGAGCAAAAATCGTCGATGATTTAGGGATTGCTCCATACTGATTGGGGTCAATTTTCTCCAAAACAGCTGGTTTCACATAATCATTAACAACGAAATGCTCTGCAACCTTCGAAATATTAGGTGTTAATGAAATGGGCCTAAGTTCTTTTTTCAGGTCCTGTACTATTTTTACTTTTGGCAGCGGTGAAACATTCGCAAGTTTCCATATTGCAGGTAGGCGTTGTTGTTTGTAGGATGCATTTAGGAGTAGACTAATTGGGAGGGCAAGGATTACAGCATACTCTCGCAAGAGCCAATTGGGCACTTCATCAGGGCCACCACTTTTACTGGGGTTGAGTTTTTGTAGCTGTGATAAAACCCTTTCTTCAGAAACTTCTAAGAAGTCTGGGTTTTCCTCTAAGTTAAGTCGCTCTAACGGTGAAGATAGTTGATATTCTGATAAGGACTCAAGAAAAGCTGTATTTATTCTGTTTGCTAGTTTTGGTTCCGATATATCTTCAAAACCAGCGATATTTATCAAATTTATTAGGGAGCTATTCATTGATTTCATTCCTCCTAGGCGTTTGATTTCACTCCACCAAGTTTTAGGGTTATCTTTTTCTTTACTGTGAACCTGGGTCGTATAGTATTTTGATTTACACGCTTTTCTCTCGCGATTGACAATATTTCGGTAATATTTAAAGCAGTTGGATTTTGGACCGTAACTGAAAATTTAAAGGCTTCTTGTCTTTTTTTTATAAATGTTTTCAATTTATCAGTCATCCAAGGAACATCTGCGGAGATTTTCTTAATCCGTTTAATTGGCATGAGGAGGTCAAGACCAATAGCTACAATGTCATAAAAAAAATTCGCCATATCTTCACAGCTTTGTGATTGAGCAAAAATTTCAGGCCAAAGGATTGATTGCAAAAATCTCCCCATGGCATCTTTCTTACTCTGACGAAGGTCTCGTTTGTATACAAATGTAGGTTTTGCTTTCTTCACAATGTGAGTGGGTGAAACTACAACTGTGTTGTGATCAGATAATCCAATTGGAGGGAGTATTTGCGGAGACTTGTAGAACTCGTGCATATTAGTTAATATTAGATCAAGTATTGCTTCGCCTCGAGTTGGTGATTTAACAATTTGTTTCAACCGAAAATGCTTAATTATATGATTCACATTAAGACGATTGAAATCCCCAGCAATGATAATACCGCAGCTGTAAAATTTTGCTTCGACTTCGCTCAATGTCTGAAATAAGTGACTCTGCATGCTGAAATCGTCGGCACTGGGGGGGTGGTATAGGACGGCAACTATGATTGAGGAAAATTCACGAGGAAGTCGTCTAGGTTTTAAATGAAGCCATAAGATTTCGTGTTCGGAACAACATGAAATTTCTGAAAGGATTTTGAGTTTCGTATCACCGTCTCTGATATAAATACAGATTCCGCCATGGTTGTTTATAGATCTATCTTTGCGTATGATTGTAAATCCAGGTATGCTTACAACGCTATCTGTAATTGAGTCATTGAGCCAAGTTTCAGTTAGAAAGGATAAGTTTATCTCATTTTCCATCATGAATTCGCGGACTTCGTCTATTTTAGGGGCCAAAGATCTCACATTAGTCACCATTAATTTTGGAATAAAATTACTAATCCTCTGTTTTAATGTAGTGGTATTAAGTTGATGGAGTTCTGTAGTAAGGGGCTTACATGTAGTAAGGGGCTTACTTAACTTTGCCGCTAGTGCATGCTATAACTGTTATAATTTGTAATTTGCTGCCCGGAAATGCCTAAAATGTAAAAGTGAATATAAGCATGTATACATTTAAAAGGAAATACACAATATTTGACGTTGTCCAAGATTCTAAAGTAATGCCGCCAAGGGCGCCATGATTCGTTGACGCGTTTGGTTCGACTCGGTTCTTCGAGCCTTCTTCAGAATACTGAGATTAAAATTACATATGTACATTACTTAATTAAAGTTTTTGCGGTGTTGCTACGTTCCTGTATACGTTGAGACCGTCTAATTGGCTGTTCCGCGGTTGATCTGATTTCATTGCTGGTTGATGAATGCGTTGTCACGGTTGAATGAATTTGGCTGGTAGGGATGGCGTCATTGGAATGTTCGGATTGTTGTGTTGCGGATGTTGAAGGAAGTGTTATTTGGAAGTTAGTATTAGTCATAGTATCGTTGTTATTAGTGGGACATTTACGTGTTGCTTTAAGTTGTAAGTAAACAGTGGGAATTTCAACGTGTCGGTTAATTGTATTACCATCTATACTGTACCATGCCTCTTTAAATTCACGTGCGTGTTTTGTTTTTGCTCGTCCTAATAGTTCGGTTTCTCTCCAGTTGAAGGTATGGCAGTTGTCGTATGTGTGTGCTGCAGGTAGTGATTTATAATCGTATCGTTTTATGGCGTTTTTGTGTTCAGTTATATATATATATATATATATATATATATATATATATATATATTTTTGAAAGAACGAGGCAACACTATATATATGCACAATTAGCAGTAGATGCTTTTTTTTTCTGTGTTGGTGTTGTGTACTCAGGTGAATATGATATTTGTGATGTTACTCTGAGTGTATATCCACACCGGTTGAGCTTGAAAAATATGCCCGGCCACGGTGGGATTCGAACTTACGACCTTTGGATACTAGCCCAATGCTCTTCCAACTGAGCTACGCGGTCAGGACAGTTCGAGTATAAGTGATATTTCGGAACAGAATCTAGTTCCTTCGATACCAATGTATTCTAGTAATATGATTTTTTCTGTGTTGGTGTTGTGTACTCAGGTGAATCCCGGCCACGGTGGGCCACGGTGGGATCCAAAGGTCGTAGGTTTGAATCCCACCGTGGCCGGGCATATTTTTCAAGCTCGCCCGGTGTGGATATACACTCAGAGTAACATCACAAATATCATATTTACCTGAGTACACAACACCAACACAGAAAAAATCATATTACTAGAATACATTGGTATCGAAGGAACTAGATTCTGTTCCGAAATATCACTTACTCGAACCGTCCTGACCGCGTAGCTCAGTTGGAAGAGCATTGGGTAGTATCCAAAGGTCGTAGGTTCGAATCCCACCGTGGCCGGGCATATTTTTCAAGCTCGCCCTGTGTGGATATACACTCAGAGTAACATCACAAATATAGTAATGCTTTTGTTGTTGGTCTTATGACTTTTATTGATATATCCGTGGTTTTGAAAGAACGAGACAACACTATATATGCACAATTGTGATGCGTTGACGCGTTTGTTACTGCAGTTTAGTATATACGAAGCGTGTTTTTGAAAGAACGAGGCAACACTATATATGCACAATTACCCATATAACGCTTTTGTCGTTGGTCTTGTAGGTTTTATTGATACATACGTGGTTTTGAAAGAACGAGGCAATAATATATATGAACAATTGTAGGTTAAAAATTAACACCCCCATCCCCCATTAAACCATCTACACCAGCAGACACCATCTTCACCACCTGACAACAGCTGTTCAGCTAAATCATCTGACACCATCTTACACCATCTTCACCACCTGACAACCGATGGCTATATTGGACATATATGAGAGTTACCTGCGGAGGACGCATCCAGAAACAGTAACGTCACGCATTCGGAAACTGTCGGTGTAATGCCGTAATGTTTAATTTACAAAAAGTATATCGCATATAAATCGTAGGAATTCCGAATTCCGAATTTTAAATTATTAAAATGAATTGAGACTAACAAATGCACAGTATTCTATTCACAACCCTCACAATCATGCTCAGTCTAATTAAGGATTAATTGCAGCAATAATTGTAGACTTCAAGACAAGTAGGAAAAGTGACAAAAGTCTCTATTTTCCCGATAGGTCCTGTCTGAATACACGGTATAATGATCACTTCCAGATTTGGTTGAATAAAATCTGCAACATATTAACTAATAAATGGAAGTAAAATTAAAGCGTATTAATATTAATTAAATATAATTATCTGATACTGACATTATACTCTAAATAAGAATTGTTTTGTTACATGCAGTAGAATTTTTGAAAAGTACAGTATCATATGTTAATGGCAAAATGATTAGTAAGAACCACCACCTTATAAAATTGTATATAAAAGTGAATGGTTATACATTATACTTACATCAAGGAATTTGACAGCCGCATGCGAATCACTAGTTGAAAATGCATGCCTTCAAGTCTTGCTTCTGCAAAATAACCATTAGAAACTGAAGAAATTATATTTACTGCTCTCTCAACAGTGAGTTGGTCTCCAGCAAATAACTCCCCATCAAACTTATCCTCCCCAGTATCTGGAAGATATTTGTGAAATTGTTGAAAAATTGACAACATTTCGTCATTGACATTTTCATTCTTAAATATGATTCACAGAGGGGTCTACAAAAAGAGATATACTTAATTATATTAGATGAAACGACTCACCTCATTTATTAATTAACCAGACCATCTTGTAGTGCATATTGCATACTCAAAATGCTAATAATCACGCGGGTTGATTTACTTGGGGGAGGGAGGGGGGGGGTTAACACCCTAGAATCTATCGAAAACCACTCTCATAAAGTGTAAACCCCACTAAAATTTGTTCCCTGCTTCGTCCCTCCTATTATGTGTGAAAATCTTTAACCCTAACGCCTGCCAAAGCTTTTTCCGTGCCTTCTTTTAAAACAATGAAATTCATAGGTTAAAATTGTACATGAGAAATATCCTTGTTATTTGGAATTGAATTGAGTCCCTAGTCTACGAAGAATAATTAGATTCAGTGACTGAGTGGCATAAAGCAACAGCAGAAGGTCCCCATTAGAAATATTTCAAAGCATAATTCTGGCAATTTGCTCAAATTTCAAAATAGTTGTGGTTGCACTTGCAGCTTTGTTGTGAGAATACTTTACTTTGGTATTACATTCTAATAAGCCAAGTTACTATCGCAAGGAAAGTGCTGCCTCACCCCCAAGGGATGGCAACATGCGCAATTTGCTGAATAAGGGGCTGTTTATACGATCCCGCTTTGCCAGGACGAGATATGAGGCGGGATGATTTCGATGTACTGAAACGAGTCACAGTGCACAATTCAGCCAAAAAATTTTCTAGAGATAGATTACAGTTAACTGTAAACGATAGCTAGGTTATTCAGGTAGCAATAATAAATAAATAATAAACAATCTTCTTACACTACAAGATTTTCTGAACAATATTTGAGTTCTGTTAAAAAGCATTTGAACTTTTGTTTAGCCTAGCATTTTAGCTTTTGTTTAGGAGGTATTTGAATATCAAACACCTTGCACAAGGTCGAAGGTCAGCTAAATATTGTAATTCTACTTTCTCGGCATGGACAGTGTATATGAATACATTCAATGCTTATAACTTCTTGCTTTTGTATGTCATGATAATTATAACACTGTCAGTGGTGAAGCTAGTCATAGCAACAGGTCATGCTATGCAAGCTTTAATGATTTGCATTATTCAAATAGAGGCAGGTTTATTGGTGTAGCACGACCAGTTGCCATGGTAGCTATCTTGCCACTGAATACTGTACAAAATCATATTACATATAAACGATAATAATACTTGAATGAATCATTGGACATGTAGAATTTAATTAATAACAATTTCATATATAGAAATATTAAGTCAGTTTTTGTCTAATTATCGTTTTAATGCAATAATGGCACTTTCAAAGCTGCAAAACAACTGAACAATCTGCTGATGCTTGATGGCGAGACAAAATCTATTTGTTGACAGTTTTGTTTCATATGTCAGCTTCTGATGACACCATTCATTTATAATGATTAAGATTGTACTCAGTCAGAACTGCAAAACTATATAATACAAGAAATTTCGAGCATTATAAAAAAAATATAGTGTACCGTTTATGCATCAGTCAAATCCAAGAGTGCCCATCCCCCCGGGGTGTAAAGCATGCCCATCCCCCCGGGGTTTCCTGTAAAGCACGCCCCAGGAATTGGGCATTTGAACTCAAACCTTTGCCCGGGGCAGGGCATTTGAAATTAAGGATTTGCAGGTTTTATGATCGCCAATAACTTCATAATAATATAATATAAAACAAAACAATACCAGTTTCAGAAAATTTAATAAAATATAAACCAAGTTGTTGTTTAAAAACGCATGAATTTAACCCACACCGCAAACATTAAAAATCTGAATGCGCTAGAGCATGACGACAGCAAAACACGCTAGAGTATGATGCACAATACTTGATATGTTAAGACAGGGAATTCTCTCGAAACATCGAAGAATGTATTCTCCTTATTTACAGGTAGTTGGATAACTTACTCTTCTTAGCCGAACAGTCCAGCTGTCCCCGGGGTGGGGGATTTGCTACCGAGTTTTTGCTCTGCTGCGGGGCAATTTGCCAATTTCACAGTTTTTATCCCCGCCCCCGGGAATTTGTCACATATTTTCGAAAATTGTCAAAAGCCTGGGGGTTGGCCCCGGGGGGGGGGGTGACAGGCAGGTGAATATATAAATGCAGGCTGGTAGGATTATTTCATATTATGTTAACAATGGACATATCTCAGAGATATATTTTTACAGACCGTCTATTTATATGTAATGGTGGTATGAAGTTAATATGTGCAGACAACAATCCACACTGTGTTGCTATAGGACTATCTTTGTGCATACAGTTTCATATAAACAAGTGGAGCTCGTCGATTGTCAGTTTATAGAAAATCTGATTGAGCTTGTCAGAACATCGTACTATTAATAGAACACAGTATAAACATACAATTGTGTACAAATGAAATTAAATTATCTGACTTGTGCTTTAATAATATAAATAATAAAATACTTCGACCAAAACACATTGTTATTTGTGATCAAACGTTCATCATCTTACCTTGAAAAAATTTCGATAAACAGCCAGACATAAAATTTGCGGCAAGCCTGCTACAAAACTACACTGCTCAGGCAACGAGGCTGTCATGGTCCATGGTAGTGTTCGTGAGGTGCAACCATGATATTCGGAAAGTCAAATCGCGATCTGGAGTATGTTATTTTTTAAAATTTCTGTGACGTTAAAATACGTCATCAATCTGATCATCCGTACAAACATCCGTACATGCACAAAATCGAGTTCTCGTTCGGCTATACATAACTCGGCCAAAGAGACTGGGCACTCGTAAACGCAATACTTCATGTTAAGAATAGTGTGCTGCCTTCGGCAGCAATTAATTAGTTTATTTTATTAACTGTTTTTCATGAATCAATTCCTTGGAAATGTACTGGCAAAAATTTTCTGGTCATTTTACCAGGGGCCCCAGACTCGGATGCCCCCATTACTCAACAACCGGACACCTGCCAGTTACCACACTGAATGGATAAGATATTCCAATGTGCCAATTAGTATCATTGTTTTGAACTAACCTTATCTGATTTTCAGACATTTCTTTGCGGTATTTATGTGGTATATTTTTAACACACACATCGTTGAACTCAGCAAATGCATCAAAATAGTCAGATAATATCCTCGACACCAGACCGCTGCTTCCTTTGATCAACAACACTGAGAAGGAAAACGATGTTTGGTATACCATGAATATCAGCCATGGTTGGCAGACACCCGGTTCTCAATCATAACATGATTTACCCAGTGTATGTCCCTGTTTTGGGATGTCAATGTCATATTTCTTCTTTTCAGGTGAAAGTCAATAGATAACTTAGATATGCGATCAGTTCAAAACTCAGATTTAATATCACAGATGAGGATACAAACTGAGGTAAAAATGCTGCTGCTTGACCGTGCAATTATCAAGGAATAAATTATGAAAACAGGATTGAAACCATGTTTTCTCACATTATTCACATCTGTCAACAATATCTAACAACATTGTTACACCCAATTCATGCTCAACAATATTGTTCAATATTGCTGACATGTGTGAACAACGTGGGCAGCAAAACATTGTTCAATCATCAGGCTAATAATTTTTATGTCTATAGTCTGTGCTACAGGCTAGTAATATAACAACCTGTGATCCAGGGTAGGAGTAGGAATATACTGTACATGTAGAACATTATTAGGGACTTTAATAGACCTTTTCCCTTTTGAGTGAAATTTTGATCAAGACAAGTCAGGACAAAAATTTCATCCCAGCTTGAAAGAGCATTACAAAATTAGTAATATTCCGAAGTTTCGTTGCGAAATGTTGTAAAATGCGGATAATATAGCCTTGCGAAGTTTGCCGTTTTTCATTCATTTTGTATTACAATTGGGAAATTGATGTATGGTAATCAATTTCCCGTTTGTATTTTTATGATAATCAATTTCCCGTTTGTATATATATATATATATATAGCAATAACCAATATATATATTAACCCATAATAATAACCCATGTAAACGTAGTAACCCACCTTACAGCAAAAACGTAGTAACAAACATTGGTAAAACCTTTCTTCAACTTATCGACAAACATTTCCCTAAATCAATTAAGTCGTCTACATAAGATCTTTAACCGCAATTCAATCAAAATTAGTTACAGCTGCATGAAGAATGTCAAGACAACCATTTCTAACCACAACACGAGAATTAGATCGACCGAACCCACCGCAACAGAAGAAATTAACTGTAATTGCCGCAAGAAAGATGAATGCCCCCTCCAGAAGAAATGTCTGACTCAGGCTATTGTGTACCAAGCCGAAGTAAAGAGTCACGACAACGGTGAAACGAAGCGGTATATTGGGGTAACAGCTGGGGAATTCAAAGACAGGTACAGAAACCATAAAAAATCATTCGAGCTTCAGAGATACGCGAACGAAACAGAGCTATCGGAAGCATATTTGGAAACTGAAGAGAAGCGGAAGACCTTACAACACCACTTGGTCCATTCTTAAGAAGGCTGTCCCATACACAAGCGGAAGACCAAGATGCAACCTATGCTTGCAAGAGAAGCTGCTGATTTTAAAATCTCGCGACAAAAATCTACTCAACAAAAGATCGGAAATCTTCTCGAAGTGCGTGCACCGGAAACAATTTTTAGCGGGAAATGTAGTCTGCGCGCGTGTAAGCAACATCAACAATCCTCGCGCGCGCGCGCGCAGTCACATCATCAAACAACGAATATCAAACGGTATTTGAGAACAATGTCTCCTGATGATCGCAGTGATGCGTGAAACTCGGAGTAGAGACAAAAAAACATTTTAAGTAAGAATATTAATTACATTCGCTCTACGAAATTTTATGTATTGAGCACTCTCTTCACTATACGTTACAAAACTTGTGATATATATATATATATATATATATATATATATATATATATATATATATATATATATTATATATTATATTTTATGACGAAGTAACTTGACGAAATGCTTGCAGCTGGCGGTCGCTTTCACACGATTGGCCACGAAGTAAACCCGAATAACTACGAAGAGGTTGCGAAGTCTTTAATGGCGGGTTGGACCAGTTTATAGAATTCTAAACAAAATTTGGTGTTTGGTTATTAAGATATTATGAAAGTCATTCAAAGTTTTAAAAGAGCGCTGCACAGCGACAAAACTATTCTTTTGATCGGTACACATTATCTGCACGATGGACAAGCGCATTATATGGACGATCGACAATTGTGCACTCTATATTTTTTATAGGTATGGTCAGGCGCATCTATTAATCCTTATCACAATGCCCCATTCTCACTGGTTATCAGTACGTTTAACAATGCTAAACCTCTCCAAAGTCCTGTCAACTGATTTGGTTTACATGCAGGAGGAAACTAAAGATACATGAGTGTACATACATGTACATGCATGCATGATTTTTCAATAAAGTGAACATACCAGATTTGAGTGAGAAGTATTTCTTACATACCAGTTTTGAAATGCCAGTGTGAGCTCTGAGATCCATGGCGGACTGGGACGGAATTATTGCTGGTTTTGAAGATTGCCAACCAAGAAGACAGTGCTGGACAAAAGACAAACACATTATCTAATTTTGGTTTGCGAGTTTTATTTTATTTTGCACAGTCAAATATTGCAATGAAAATAATAATCTATTATATATCCATTCAGTGGGTTTCAGCACAGTTTAGGAAGCGTTCCAGCCAATACAGGGAAGCAGGTTTGTTTCGAACACGATTACTGTACTATACATAATGAAACAAATGAACTACCACATGATGTGAAAAATAAGATTTCAATTCAGAATGCATTACATGGTTACAAAAATTGATTCTTATTCTTGGTTGAACATGGTTTAATTATTCTTGCATGTTTTAACTTTCTTCAACATGGTCGCCAGATCTGTCTTATAAATGTCAATGAATTGATTCCAAACCAGCGATAGGAATCAGGGGAGGATCTATACCGGTGGGGTGTCCCCCCCCCTCCAGAGGTGTCCACCACCACCCATATTTGAGTTCTGAATACTACTTATTAAGTTGAAACGATTGATTTTCGAATACGCGAGAAAATATTCAAGCACCAATACGGCGGATCAAGCACCATATAACGTAGGTCGTAGCATTTTGCCCGAAATATAAGTACTGCGAGGACAAATTTAACGAATAAAACGCATAGTGCTCAGAATACAGGAAATGGCATTTCAGGGCTTCAAATTTCAAACCTCCACCCTCTCTAACAAATCAGGCCAGATCCGCCCCTGATAGGAATGCTTTACCTACACTCATGCATGATAATCAAATATTTGACACAATCACATGCATGTAAAGCATACATTTGTAATTTAGTTTTGTATAGATTTTTTCTCATTTTGTGAACTTTTTTTACATGGCTCCTCGAGTCCTCGACCTTGGAGCCTTCAAGGTATTTTTTATAAAAACTTGATTGATTGAATTTCGATATAATTACATGTTGATAATCTGCTGCAGTACATTTTATCAATCACATACTGTATCATATTTAGCAATACCTTTGATAAAGAAACCGAATCTGTAGGATCAAAGCTTTTTCTACGATGTGGCTTCACTCTGTGAGGCGATTGAAGTGTGGATCGAGGCACGCTTATCCTTACATAACTATCTTGATTTTCATACTCGTTTGGTTTTCGTGTTTTGCACAAGGAACAATACGAGTCTGAACCATGAATTGGAACGGCAAACAGTCGATCATCAAGAACGTAAGTGTCAGAGCCTGAAATTTTAGTTTTATACACTTTTAATTATACTTCGTTTCTGGGAGATTAGTCTTTTAAATCACGATTAGGACTTTATAGATGTAGACATTTCTGACATTAATTTTGTAGCATTGTGTAATACGAGGTGTAATGACCAGTATTTTCCCTAGCTTCTGTTTCGACAAGTGAAACTCAAATTTGGTAAACCAGGGGGGGGGTGTCTTTTTCAACAAACTAAAAATGGCTTGCGCGAGAGATTTAAAAGCTTTAATCGTATTTTGAGTTAATGGGTGAAAATGTGTTGGGTGTTTAATTACTGCACGAAATTTCAGACAATTTGCTTCAGTTTAAGCCCTTCAACTATTCACGCAAACTTACATTTTTCCTAAAAAATCAGCAATTTGCATGCTTAATTATTAATGCATTTGCCCAATTTGCATATGTCAGCAATACGCAAATTACGTAAAGGCATTAATTACGCATGCGAAAGGCTGATTTTTTAGGAAAAAATGACTAGTTAAAAGGCCTAAACTAAAACAAATGGTCTGAAATTTTGTACACTAATAAAACACCCAACAAATGTTCGATCTATTAACTCAAAATTTATACGATTAAAGCTTTTAAATTTCGTGCACAAGCCATTTTTAGTTTGTTGGAAAAGAAACTCCCCCCTGGTTTAAAGGGCTTAAACTAAACCAAATGGTCTGAAATTTTGTACAATAATTAAAAACCCAACAAATTTTCCATCTATTAACTTAAAATACGATTAAAGTATTTAAATTTTGCACAAACCATTTTAGTTTGTTGGAAAAGAAACTCCCCCCTGGTTTACACAATTTAAGTATTTTTTTCTTTCATTATTCTACATTATGGATTTATGGGTACTGAAGGAATCTTGTATATGTAACAAAAACTTGATACCACGAGCTGTTTTGGAAAATTGAGAGCAATTTCAAATCTGTTCATTTTCTTATACACCCTGTATTACAAAAAAAACCTTCCATTGATACTTAATAGCCCAGTATTTTATTCAAAATTCCTTTAGAGTATTTTTCTCTCTAGAGTACACATACATTTGTGGTATTTTTCATCTTCAAATCTTTGTGGTGTATTGATTCCCTGTAGGGGTGACTTTGTTGGATTTCTAAAATAAAGATTATTAATACATTTTATAATGTCATTTCTAAGATATTTTGATGAGCACAAAGAAAACTTAAGATTTTGATCTCACTCGATTCAATAATAGTTCAAGGATCTTGCTGATGAAAATTATCGAGTGGAAATTTATAGACATTTATTAGACCTAAACAAGAACAATAGTGAAAAATGCAACTTATACTGTAGGTCCCTAGCAGGGATCGAACCTGCAGCCCTGAGATTTGATTCCTGGTTAGGTCCAATCATAGCCTATTGAAGGGAAGATGGCTGTGAAACTCATTAGAATAACAATATAACTCATTTTATTATATGGTCAATGGTGTTTTACTGGAAACTAAAACACTCGTAGAACTCATACGTCACTACATCCGGGGCCAGGTGCGTGTATTTTCCGTATTTCACCCCTGCTAGTGACATACGAAAATTTCCCCCCATTTTCATTGTTGTTGTTTTGAAAATACAAATGGTCTTTGGTTCGTATTTAAAACGAAATTAACGTTGGAAATAAAACAAAAACATTTAAAAGACATCTTGAGATAAGTAAAATTTATTCTACATGTAGTTTTATGTTTGCACTATAATTTTAAAAAAATATCGCTTTTATATACTGGTCTTTCGCATGCTTATCTACATGTCGTCTTTGTGTGTATTTTTGTCACTCTGAGTAAGTCCATATAATAAACAGAACATTAAACGGTTGCGAGAAGATATGGATTTATGTTCTCATGTCAAAAACAATATCTCACTCGTTCGCTGCGCTCACTCGTGAGATATTGTTTTTGCCACTCGAACATAAAATCCATATCTTTTCACAACCGTCTAATATCCTATATATCTATGTCAGTCAAAGTTTATTCATAAATCTGGTCCTTCACATGTCTATTGTATTTTTGTATCGATTTCCACTCGATAATTTCCATCAACAAGACCCTTTAACAAAGAAAAATTGAATGTTAAAAATCTTACTGTAAAATAGATGATCCAGTACACTCGCTTCTGTTAACTTTGCGAAACTCCTTCATTTCGTTAAAAAAACTGTCATCCTTTTGCGCTATGTAAGAATCATTATCAAGCATGCCGGCAATCCAGTCATAGCCAAGCAATGATTGGTCAGATTTTTTAACACTTGCAGTTGGCGTGGATGGTTGAAATGTGACATGGTGTTGACTTTCAGCTTTCTAAAAAAGGCATATTTCAGCTACTGTAAACATTAAGGCAGGCACAGCTAGGGGACCTACAATCTCGTTCCCCGAGCCTGCGATCCTCGGGAAGGAATCGAAGGCTCTGGGATAATCCATTACCGGAAGCCAAGAATCATGGCTAAGATTAAACTACGCATTCCATTTCAATGGCCAATCAGATTCCTCCCTGAAACAGATTATCCCAGAGCCTCCCTCGCGTTCCTTCCCGAGGATCGCAGGCTCGGGGAACGAGATTGGGGGACCTAGGGCATTCCATATTACGGGTACCCAGTCCCCTCAATGACTATGAAAAGCTGCCAGGATAAAAATGATCAATTTTAATAGCATAACTTGACTCAAGTGGGGGTCTATCATTGAATTGAATTGAGGTCAGTCATTACTACCATTGCTGATTACTACCAAAAATACAGGTTGTAATTTTAATACACAAGTTTTAATATACCTGAATTTGACGTTTTGATTGTGACTGTGGAGTCCTCAGAATGGAATTTAAACCCTTCTTACTATCAGCCAATGTTCGATTTTCCTTTTGATCGCTTCTCCTTGGCGTACTAAATCGCACACTGCCCTTTTCACTTCGCTTTCGTGGCGTCATTTTAGTCGACAGTTCGGATAGCGCCTTCCTTCGACTTCGCAAAGTTACCGGCGTTCTGTCGGGCCCAAAACCCTCAAAAACTGAATTTTCTAACTGCTTGTCGACATCAGAATGGTTGCTGTTTGTTTTTATAGAGTTTACGTCTTTCCAAATAGTTTTCTGGGCTACGTGAAGCCGTGAAAGTAAGATTAAATTGGCTTCTCGTAGCGATCGTTCTTCCGCCATATTTTAAACGAAGCAAACAATTGTTCACGTGACATGCAATGCATGCTGGGTAAATTTTTTAAAGATCATATGCGATACTTCATGATACTAGAATTATAGTGTACCAATTCAAAATTCTCTATTCTGATTAGTTGACAAGCGGTCCGTAAAAACCCAGAGGTTAAGATACCCCGGTTTCGGTGTACGGGTACAAGTAGTGTCATCTTGTTTTACTGATGTCTGTAATTCGATCATACTTTTTCTGTTTTCTTGCAATAGACAATGATATAATGCGAAAAATGTGCACGTTAATTACGAGTAAAGGTACAGACATCGACGAAAATATTGCTAACCAAAATCATGCTACCCGTACCCGTAAACCGAAACCGGGGTATCTTAACCTCTCTATTTTCCGTGTCTGGACCGGTGTCCCGGATGTCATTTATCTGGAGGGAAATTTTTGCTTTGCAAACAGAAAATTTTTTTGCTTTTTAATTTTCCAATCGTGTGTCATTAAAATTTACAGATAAAAATTTCAAACAACCAAATTCTTTTTGATTGAGCATGCATGCCTACCGTATATTGTTACCCAGTGAAACTGACGATAGTTATTTAATTCGCGCGAAAAATGCTAACAGACTCAGTTCAGCCATATAATAAACCGATTATTGACTTCGCTTGTTCGGTCTGTACTGTGAAATACCGTAAAGTCTCGAAAGTAAGCGCCCCTTCGAAAGTAAGCTCCCCTCGAAAGTAAGCGCCCCCACCCCCGAAAAAAGTTTTTTAAAGGTGTAAAACATAGGGTAAATATAAAGATAACAATTTATATAAAGATAACATTTCGAATAATGATCTATGTAAATCATATATCTAAGTAAAAACTCTTAAATTAAAGAAACTCTCTAATACTCGAAATACTCTATAGAATGCCGGGATTTAAAAATGGCCGATGCTGAAAATAACAAAGCGCCCCCTCAAAAGTAAGCGCTTCTTGAGGCCACTAATTTCAAAAGTAAGCAGGGCGCTTATTTTTGAGACTTTACGGTATCAGACCTCCGTTTTTTTGCATGGACCTCACTCCTTCGTCGCCCGCTCCATACTAAAAAACCTCGGTCTGATATTTCACAGTACAGACCGAACAGGCGAGGTCCTGAATAAGCCGTTAATATTATATTATTAGAAAGAATCGTAAAACAGTTCTATTTATATGAATATTATAAACTAATATCACTATTTTAATTAGGTCAGTGCGTTACTTATTTATATTGCATTTACTTTCACGAGATTTGAAGACGAATATCGATAATTTTTCGCTTCTGACAATTGTCAGAATTATTTTATTTTGTGTGTTGTCGTTTCAGTTTTGCATATATTAATGCACATTTTCATTGTTTTGAACAGGTTATTATTTTCAAGAATCGACATGCGCAAGTTAATGCAACGTCATTATTTAATGTCAGGAGGTTATTATTTTTAATAATGACCTCCAATATTTAAAATAATGACCCCGATTTTTCCCTTGAATAAAAAATAAACCATTGTGCGTTACAACTTTGCTTTAAAGCAAATTTTAATTACACTACAAAAATTTCCATTTTAATTTAACTACAACGTATAAAGTTTTTCATACAGTGTTTTTCCAGGATACCTTTCTCCATCGTCTTTTCTTACTTCTGCGATGAACTGATGTAATACTTCGTTGAGGTCAACTTCTGGCATCATATTTATTTCTGACTTGTAAACCAAGAGAATTTTATCAACCAAACGCATTTCCCTTCCATCTTGAGAGATCTCCTGGCGCCATTGTGACCAAGCGTCGAACATTCTGTATGCCCACATCGCCTTCCTCTTAGTATTTTCTGGGATGCTTCGCGAAGCCAACTCTATCATACTTTTACTGCTGCAAATCTCAAACCGGTCAGACGTATTCTGTTGCTCTATTGCAAAATATAAATAAATTCAACTATTAATCGCTATGATTAATGCTAATTGTTACTAACTTTTAAACAAAACTTAGCTAAGACAATTTTCACCTTTTCTATCCAACGTGCTTTTCCCAAGTGCATTACATCGCCGCTCACTGACACTGTCTATCTGATTTGGCCTTTCCAGTGAAATTCTCCGCTCTGCAAACAAATCCAATGACTGGGAAAGTATTCCATCCAGCCCATCGTCTTCCAAATCTAGACAGTCGCAATCCCAATCATTGGTCTTTCAACTTCAAATTCATCGTCATATCCTTCTCCAAACAAACTAAAATCTCGCTTTCTCGAACCAGACATCCTCACTCCACAAATATCAATTAAGTAATAAAAAGGTAGCTGTTGAAAAAACACAGCCCAGGAATGCGCATACAAAACACAAATATGGTGTGAAAAATAATAGTACCACAACAATGAACTTGTAACTATCTTAATAGTTTTCTTTGTTCATAAACACCATAATGTGCATTAAGTCGGATAATACCCTCGCTCTCGGTATTATTAAAAATAATGACCTCGCGCTACGCGCTCGGTCATTATTTTTAATAATACCTCGAGCTTGGGCATTATCCTATACATATAATCTTTCTGATTATTATAAGTAATAGCATAAAAAGAGGCGAATTAGCTATTAAAACGTCCCGCCCGATGAGGGTCGTTTAGTAAAATTCCCTTGGGCGCCGCTCGATGAGGGTCATTTAGTAAATACCCGAATCGAGCGGCGCCCAAGGGAATTTTACTAAACGACCCTCATCTAGTCTCCTACGCAGCCTGTTCGCGGGTCCGAGGTTTTCTCCCCACTAACAGGCTGCTTACTGCAGCAAGACATTCCATTCCGATTGTTTAGCCAATCACAGCCCGAGTACCAAAATCAGGAACTCGTTCGCGCTTAAATTTAATATTCCGAAACAAAGATGGCGTCGTATGATCAAGCATTGTATGAAGTCGCCCATTATTTCGTATTTCTACTTTCAACGATCATCAGAGGAATGCGATTCGAACAATAATTAAAGAAAAATGAGATGCGTTTGTCAACACGCCTACTACAGGCTTCGATAAATCGATTTGCCTCTCATGTGATGTGATTGCCTGTTCCACGAATAATGCCAGAGCGGTAGTTCATGGAATACCAGAGGCATTGCTCTTTATAAATCATTGACTATTTAACTGCCTTATTTATGTTTCAGTACCACCATTTTAATAATTTATCAGATTTCTTTAAAAATTATTTTGTGTGAAACAACAAAATTCATGAACATAAGTCATAACACTACGAAAATGCTTCAAAACTTCACGAATGTTATGAAAGGACAAACATTATGTGAAACACAGTCTCTCGTATCAGTAAAGGAGATGATATATCTCCAAAAGCAAATTAAACAACACTTTGCTATACACAATTGACAATTTATACCATAAGTCCATAAGGCATAATAACTATAAGACATGCGATAAAACATCTGTAAGACTGTATTAAAAAATATATATGTAATACTTGAATAATATATAGCACTTTAGTTTAGTATTTTGTAGGTCATTGCTGCCAAGTCATTGTAAAAATTTAAATGCATCGCCAACTTTAGTATTAATTTATATACTGATACGAACATTGCCCTTACAGTAACTTCTTTTTCTCTGTTGTAAATACAGACGTACATATTCTTCAAAACGTCTCATTTTACATATTGTATGTATGACACTATGATGTCTATGTGATTTAATAATTATTACAAATGAACAGTATTTATAAAACTAGAAGCCTAAAATCTAAATGGAAAGTCTACGAAGATGTCTATAGTAGGTATCTAGCCCAGAATCGTTTAAAGGTAAATTTTAAGAAACTTTTTTATATATGGGGAAAATTAAATAAAAATATATAATATATATAAGACCATATAAATTTGTAAACAACTATTTTGAACGACAAGTTGTCAATTTCGAATTACTGCATGTATTCAAATTAACACGAAATCAAATATAAAAATATTTATATACATTTGCTAGTTAAAACTATACTCTATATAGCAATGTACTTAATGATACACTTAAATGCTACTCATATATATATAGTTTTAGTTTTAATTTAAGCTTGTACAAAAAATATGCTGTAAAGCAAAAGTGCTCGCGGGTTTGACTTCTATTATTAAGCAAAAGTGCTCGGGAGTCGGGTTTTATTTGAGCGCATAAAATCCGAACACTTTTGAAACCATAAAAGTCTGAGAACTCATAATATCCGCGAGCACTTTTGCTTTACAGCATATTTTTTGTACAAGCCTAAATAGCCTCCGTTATATAACCTCAGTCGAGCGAGATTATTTGAGAAGGATACCCAATACCTCTAACCCAGCACAATAGCCAAGGCGGTCGCGCTCATTTTATCATTTCTTTGCTTGAGCAGCACAGAGCCACATAGCTGTTCAAGACTGAATTTCTTTAGATCATCCTCCCCAGTTTTTTTAACCCAGTCGAGAGAAGAAATCTAAATTACACAAATCGCTAACTTCCTGGGAAACTATGTCAAGCACTTTCTGTGTAACCACCTTGCGGACGGGTTGCATTTCATATTACTGTCCGGCTGCCGTATATAGAGGTCCATACAGTAACGCTTTCCCCAATGTATTGTAGGTATCACATACAGTTTTACTCACAGTTCCAAGGAGTAGGAACAAAATATGGGACGATAAAAGCTGGGTCCATGGATTGTGTCTTTAATAATAATAGTGTAACTTTCAGCCTCAACTAGACAACAGCCGTTTCATAACAGACGTTTTTACAAATAAATAAATCGTTACTGTCAGAATATTGTTCACATCAACATTTTATACTCAGATCAGCTATACCAAGGGCACTTCTCCCGTCATACAGAATATAAACAAGTTGATTATTTCAAACAGGCGTGTAATATATTTTAACAGCAGTAAACACTGAGATATATTGAGCACTGAACAATTAATTAGTCACTACTGAATTTGGCGGGAAGCATACGTTATGCCGTTTCCTGATTGGTCAAGTTGAAACAATCAGAATGGAATGTGTTGC